CACATTTTAATTTACTGTTTTTCATTAAAAGAAGACAGTGCAAACAACAATTGTGACAAACGCATCGGTATGGTCCGGAGGCCGTACTCTATCTCGCAAACTCAAGGAAGTGGAATAGTAGAAAGTACTGCTAGATCGCGATGCTAACGAACCTGCGGGCGGTGTGTCCGCCCCTGCTACAAAAGCAGCGCTTGTTATCAGCAGCGGATACCAGCGTCGGCACGTCCGCATTCTGTGTACGCTCACCCTTGCATCGTAGTGAGCTGGGCAGACGCTAGCAGGAGCGGATATAGACGCAAAGTTTGTGAGGTGAAATTCAAATTGTTTTGGTCGAGTGAGTCATATTACTGATTTTGAAAAATGTTGCAGACTACACTCAGCTTATTCTGAGATAAGATTTTATTCGTATTAATGATTATCCGAAAAAAAATTTTGCTTGAACGATTTGTAACAAGTTAAAATTAATAATTACTGACTTTTTTGGGGGGGGAGGAATTTCTATAATTTCCCTCCCCACCTGCGCTAGCGACCTCTATGATGGCCTCTGAGGGAAATGCCAATTTTTAATCATCGTCTGAACCACCTTCCATCTGAATTTTATGAATTCGCTAGTTATGAAAGTGCACACGTTCAGTCAATTCGTGTCGGTATTGAATGCATTATTTAGGATGCTGGGGAAATTTATTTTCATAATAGGTTTGTTGAGTTAAAATGTGCAGTTGATGAGTGTAGTTTCTTCTGTGGAAAAAGTTGACCGGCTTGCAAGTGAGTCCCTATTTCTGTTTCTTGGTCTCAGTGTATGTAGTGCTTTCTCGTTCAGTCAATTTGTGTCGTTGTGCATACGAGGTCTCGAGTGTAGATTATTGTTTGTAACAAGTTTTGTTGTGGTTGATCATCATTAACCATCGTTGTGATTGTGGTTTCCTCCCGCTGTTGCTGATGTCTCTGAACTGGGATCAACAAGTTGTCTCATGAGAACGTACTTCTGTTTTTGAAAACAAAAATATTATTGCATATCGTATTAAGTAGTAAAGTAATGAATATGCAAAACATTTTACACTAAGAGAGAAATATTAATATGTACATAGACATAACAGTCGACTCCGGTTATAGTGAAGAGGGATATAGCGAAACCTCGGTTATAGTGAATCTGTCTCGGGTCCCGCTTCACTTACATTACAAATATGCATAAGAAAATTCGGTTATTGTGATCTTGAATCTCGGCTATAGTGAACGTAGGAAATACAACGTCCTGGAAATTAATTGTCTTGGGAAAAAGAATATGTCGCTCAGGTGCAATAAATTTCAACACTAGGCCGCTTGAAAAAAATTTCATCGGTCAAAGGTCATAATCGGTGAAGTCTCCCCCGAGGTGAAGGTAGTGGACCCGGAATGGAGACCTTACTAATGACCTTATGCCACTCAGTTTCACTGCGGAAACAAGGCCATGACCTGCGTGGGCTACAACTGGCTGCGGTGACGCGCTATTGCTAACTACGTTTTCAATCTTGGTGTCACTTAAAATTCTTCGGGACAAGGCGCGTTGAGTTCTATGTAAGCGACACGCGGCTAACACGGCCTGTTAATTCGCCGTGCCGCACGGAAAAGCGATCGGTTTTATTAGCCTCTTGCGTCATCCTGCTACCGAAAACAACTCGTACGTTTAAAGGGCCTTCGGACAATGGGACAGTGTTCCAACAGAGCAAGATGCATTGAAGGGTGTCAAAACTACATTTCAATACTTAGTGGCAGATCGCATTTACGAAGCAAACAATTGAAAATAATTGATTTTTAAATAACAAATAAATATATTAAAACTTTCATTTCGTGCTGTTATTGTATTTTGCTGCATCACTATATTAATAAAATAAAATATTGAACAATTCTGTATAATTTTGACATCATCGGATATAGAGAACCAAAAATGTTAGCTCCCAGAAGTTCACTATTACCGGAGTCGACTGTATTTGTATTTCAAGGAAGGGTTATTGGTAATTTCAAATAACGAACCAAGTTAATTTCATTGTAATAAACATTTTTTGTTAGTTAAAAGAAAATTGCCAGTGTGTTTAAAGCATGTTTAAATTCAAATAGATTTCGAAACTTCAACTATTGGTTTGTACTGATTTAAAGAATAATATATTTTACAATTTTTTTTCCTATTGTCGTACTTAAAAGAGCTATAAAATCAGACAAATCCGTGAATGTCCATGAAAGAATTAGACTACAGCAAGCATGAATTAAGAACAGTTAAAAACTAAATTACGTCCAAAGTAGAGATTTTAAAAGAAAATACCTGAAATTGACATTATCGTATTGTACCAGATGACTGCTAAAGTGTATTATTTTCCGGAAGCAAAATGGTTTAGAAATACTTTACTTATTTTTATTGTTTAAAGTTAAATTTTTAACTTATTGGTTTCTTAACTTAAGAATTCCTTTCTTCAAATAGTAAGCAATAGCAAAGAAATTAGAATTTCCAACAGTGAATTTAGAATGTATAATTTACAACGGTATGTTTTATTACAGTTTAAACCGTATTATGAATTTTACAGTTACATTTCCACGTTTTACCTTTCATCCCTTGCCAGGAGTACCTCAACGAAAATTCAAAAGTCATTTTTGCCTTTCGTATAAACTATTTAATTTTTATTCCAAGTTCCAAAAGGAATAGCACGTATTTTTACAAATTTGAATAATTTACATTATTGATCACAAATTATTTTGAAACCAACATTAATCTATTGAAGTAAAATAATATCTTAATTTACACCTAATGATTGATCAATACTTGTGCTGACAAATGTATACTATACTGCGATTCACCGTTCTGTTTCTATTGTTTTCATAGTATTCACGGATTTCTTGCATAAAACTAAATGGTGTATAAAAGTTAAATGGCACAAAATTATTATAACTACTAGTAAAATAAAAAAAACATGGTGTTTTAACATTGAGTGGATGTGCCACATTAAGAAACAAGTTTAATCTTTCTGTTGCACTTCCCATTGTGGTTGTAGAGTGGAAAAGTAACTGCGTACATGACACTAATCTCAGACCACAAGCGTCCGCTTTTGAAAAGATCTCAAGGGAGAGTTGCAGTTAAATCTACACATTTCATACAGTTGCGACACGATAAGTGTCATAACATAATCAACTCATTTTGATTTTGCATTATCTTATTTCTGTGACACCATCACATCTTTGGCGAAGATACTTTTTGTAATAAATAAAAAAGCACGTCTTGACTTTGGCGAAGATACTTGTTGTGGTGACTCAAAACATCATTCACATTTGTTTTTGTTACTGTGTCATATCTTCTAGTAATTTAATATCTTGTCCCATTAATCATTCGTATGTTGTAGGGAATCGTAAGGAGAGTGATACAGTCATAAAATATAAACAGAGACTTGTATTGCCTAGATATTGTTTACTGCAATGTCAACATTTATAAGGCCCCGAGAGCAGCACTGAACGCTTCTACCCTATGTTCTAGTAGCTAGACGGCCCTAAAGAGTATTGTACTAGGAGAATGAGTATAAGCACTAGCGTCTGTTTTTTACACTGTTCTTTGTTTTAAGAAACATTTGCAGCCAACTCGTTTCCCATAGGGAAGAATATTTAACATTTTATATTACATTGAGTTATCTGCAAATTTTTCAAGCAAACAGTGAAATGCTTGGGTTATTTACCTCATCTAGTAAAATGTCCCTTTTATACTACATTGTTTCTTCAATTACCTCATTAAAACTTTTGCAAATATCCTCGATTCGGAAACTTAAGGCACTCATGAAAACATATTGGCAGATAATGACAAGTTCTGGTTTAATTCCGCTGAGTTCATCCTTGCAAAATACCAATGCTAAATCTATTTGCTTGATAATTATAATTCATTTTAAGAAGACATGTGTTAAAAATTAACATTTATACTGCAGAAATTAAATCACATGATGTATTTCCTGTTTTAATAACTCAAGTTACTTCCTGATTGTGACAAAATACTTTCAACTCTACATGTAATGTTTCCGTTATGCACACATATTTTCGAAGAAGACTATCGCATTCCCTTTGAAGAGCTGTCTTGTAAACGTACCCGGATCTAAGTCTTGTGCTTTTAAATGGCGCTGAATATCATAGCAATAATAGTAATCATTGTTTTGTGTTTTATCCTTTTTATTTTGTATTAGTTAATAATTTATTTTTCAATAATTGACAATTAAAATCATTCAATGACAAACTTTTTCAAACGTGGTATTCACTTAATTTAAAAATAAGACTACTAGTTTTTATATTATTAAATGTGTGATCTGTTAGATCACAAAAACAAGCAGTTAATCTCATCTAAACTCAGAAACATGAGAAATATAATTTCAAGAATAAATTATATTTATATGAATAACTACTGTAGTTTATTTCTGATGACGTTATTTCTTCACATTTTTTTCCATTCAAGAAATCCTAGACTGAACTACAGATTAAAGAAAACGAAATCATTTACCTAAGCATTTAGCACTGTCATTTTCCAATACAGAACGTCATATTTTTGGAAAGTTTAGACCCAACAATTCTCTTAAGACGACTCTGGTCTTGGACGAAACTAAACATACTCGCTTCGCCCCCTCCCGGCAAGATGCAACAATATTTTACTTACAGGATAAAGGTAAACTATGCGAAGACTCATTTCACTGTTGGTACGTGATTTCGTCTTGTGTTTAGACAACTGGATAGGGCGGAAGGTAGACAAAAAGAAGAATGAGGTAACTGAAGTTTACTTATACTGCAGTTTGTTTCAATGGCGACGGTGGGTCGTTCACATTGTATATCACACAAATAGTACGTATATGAGTAGATTGATTGATTCAAAAATAACGAAATCAATTATACAAAAAATCAGCAATGACATCTTTTTTCAAACAACGATAGCACCTTTTCCGACAGGAATTTGGCTTTCTCACGACAATATATTCTCGAAAGCGTTCTGACACAGGATAAAACAGAACTTATTGATGAAGGCCATCCCTCACAATTTGTTTTGTGACACGCCCTACTTGGGTTGATTCAAGATTCCAATTCTTGACGTGCGTACGTTGGGATGGGTGACCTTCTGGATTGGCCTGTTGTTGCGGATGTAGAGGAACGGGTTGACGAGGTAGTTGAAGTTGACGCCGCTGGACACAGACCTTGCCGGTGTTAGGCACGTGCACTTGGCATATCAGACTAGTAAATTGAGACTGATTGGCGAAAACTAAAAAATAGCTAAATCAATTACACAGAATACAACATTGACGTAATGTCTTCCTCTAGTAGCTTAACTCTCTTGGGAGGCGCGGCACGGAGTCTAGATCTCAAAGCGCCTCAGAGAGTTCTGAACTTTGAGCACAAGGGAATTCTAATCCGACGATTGTCCCTCACTTATTGGAAAGTGACAAACTGTGGCTGGGCTCATTCCACGACTCGAACCACGTCTTCCGCTTGAAACTGCGCACGCACTTGTGGATGGCCTTCTGGATCGGCCTGTTGTTATAGGCGTAGATGAACGGGTTGACGAGGTAGTTGAAGTTGACGATGCTGGACGCGGTCTCCATGACGGTGGGCGGCACGTGCACTTTGCACGTGCGCACGATGAGCACGATCATGAAGGGCGCCCACGAGGCCACGTACACGCCCAGGATGAGGGCGAGCACGCGCGACGCACGCGTGCTGACGCGCTCCTCGCCCTGGGCGAACACGCCCCCGTGCGCCTCGTTGCTGTTGCCTCCGCGACAGCGCAGCTGCAGCACGATCCTGCGCACAAGTACGCCAATAGCTCTCAGACTCTGTCCGGAGAGGAAACGTCGAAATTTCGCAAATAAACTCTTAACATAATATAAAACATATTTTGTCTAATAAACAACGTGAATGTTCCCAATTGTTGAGCCGCAATAAGGCCTCCAAATTCTTTTGAAAAAATGCTTTCTATGCAAAAAGGTGCATTGCAAAAGCATAGAAACACTCTAGAAACTTGTAAATTGTTTATAATTTACAAAAGAAATGAACACATATGTTTAGGAAGAAAAATTAACCCAGAAATAAAAAAAGCAGTCGAATTGTGTAAATTGGAAAGTTTTTGTGTTAATTTTTTTCTGGACAAATATATTAATTTCTTTTAAAAATAATAAACAATTTACATGCTTCTAGAGTGTTTCTATACTTCTGGAATGCAAATGTTTGCTTAGAAAGCATTTTTTCAAACGAACTTTGAGGACATTTACTTTTAGGGTTACTTTATACAATTTACTTTTAGGGTTAATGTATATTGTATCGATAGTTGTTAAGACTGAAGATTTCCAATTATTTAGGACAATCAATTAAATATGAAAATATGATTATCATTATCATCAACATGCATATTTAACAATTCATGTAGTAATGTGTGAAATAACACCGACGAGAATGGATAAATACACGTTTTTTAATTTAATGTGAAATAACATTTATTCCTATATAAATTTATTCTCTTTCAACTTATAATTTTAATAACGGACAATCACCGCTGGTTCAGAGTAAAATATCGACTTCTTCTATAGAATTTGTTCATATTGGGAAAAAGATGATAAAGTCATTAGTCTATTCAGAATATTTGTTGTTGTTGGAAGAGAAGAAGTAAATTGATTGTCACTAAGTACAATATTCGATACAACTGCGATACGTGCCCAGAATTGTATAAAAGAAGAAAAGTTTGGACAAATGTTACGTAGGCTAGGACTACATATTTTAACCCCCACTCCATGTCATAGTGAACCTGATCTTGTAATTTGGCAATCACATATTTTCCCACGAGTCAAGACAAACTGGCGGAGAGATGTCAGCTAGGCTCAAGTAACTTTCCTGTTTCTGTGTATTTTTCCATTCGAAAGACTTGACGGTCACGTACGAGCGGGCCCACAGCCGGAATGTTTTAGGGCTAATTGTAGCACGGAAGGGTGGGGGCGACCAGGGTATGGTGGGGTGGGGCGTGTTCAAGACAAAACGTGCGTTTTCGCGATACTATCTTGAGTGCACTAAAAATTTAAACTGTGGCATTGAACGTTTGAAAGGAAGTTTAATGATTTATAGAGTCATTAATTCCACAACAATAATTATTATTTAATGAATACCGCTTCAGAGAAAATCAATAAGATTCGTGCAATATCATCGGCAAATTCCTCATTATTTATTATTAACAATATTTATTGTTAATAATAATAGGTTCACTAAATTCTAGCATATATATTGCTTGGACGCTTAACCCTTTACAGCCGATTGGACCCGTTACTTTTTATGTGTACTCGGCATCGGCGATCGCCACTGTTTCAACGTGGCAACAAGACTTTGCACTTTGTTATGTATAGAGTCAGTAAATGGCAACATAGACTTGATTGTTGGAACACGTGACATTCTACAGCGGTGTAAACAACTAAGTGCCTGTCGCTATTGCATCAGCTGTGCTTCATATGAAAATAAAAATAATTTCGAGGTAACATATTGCTTTTTGCAGTCTTACAAAAATATATTACAATTTTACATCTAATAAGGATAGTAATATAAATTTAGCAGTTATGTAATGTTAAAATTATTATTCTGTGACGTTATTAGTTTCCATATAGACCCAGTGGGAAGTAAGAGTAATTATGTTACTAATTGAAGTTATGTGCGGGAAATAACAGCATGAAAATTAATTATATTACACACTTGTTAACAGTCTATTTTGGGACGGGGGATTAACTCAGATAGTTTAGCGCGGGACGCGGCAAGATGCGATTTAAGATCTATACGTAATGAGTCCGAAAGAACTTTTCATATCTTGTGAAGGTGATGGAATTAACGTTCACAAAGCGGTTTTTCTTGACTTAGACGAAAATATTCAAGGAAAGGCATTACGATAGGAACAAATGTACGGCAATACAACAAAGCAAATGTAGACTGGCTTCAAGGTTTTTTTAGGGAACAATATAACTGCTTTCTGAGAACAGGGGGTATGGAATATATATGGGGTGCGTTTAAAGATATTATATACGGAGCTTAGCAAAAGTTTATTCTGTGCAAAATTTTAAAAAATAACTCGGATCCAAAATACTACTATGCAAAAGTTAGGCGAATGAAGAGGATGACGAGAAAGGCATTTAAGAACAAAAAACGCAGTAACAAGCATTTGAATATTTTTTGAAATGGTTCAAAAGAAGGAGGAAAGAAAATTGCTCAGGAAGCATATTTAAAAATATTCAAGATGGGAAGGGAAATAACTGGACAGGATTTTATAAATATGTTCGTAGAAGGAAGGGAAATAAAAGGTTATCCGAATTGTCTTGAAAATAGAAACACGCTCATTACTGACGATCCGGCAAAAGCTAATAATTATTTCAGTTCGCTTTTCAATACCAATAGGAACCATCCACCAACTAAAGGGTCTTCGGTTACAAATCTGTGTAATATTGAAGTAAATGTTCTACATAATAAAGCAAAATCTATGAAAAATGGTAAATCAAGGGGTCCAGACGACATTTCTACGGATATAATTAACCTAGGAGAGGCAATAGTTGATAGTTGGTTTGAAAGGACATGTGGAATGGACAATCATATTGAAAACAATTGTAGGATTAGGTTTAAGGCACTATGAGAAACACCAAGACGCGTATGTGGAAAAGACATTAAGGAAGTGGAGGGGTGTAAGGGAATGATATAAAGGTTTTTAATAAGTTAGTGCTTGAATCTTGATATGGGGAACAGAGTTTTGGAGCTGAAGAGAGAGCATATAAATAGAGTGAATTCAGGAGAAATGGATATGACGAAGTCTGGTGTTGAAGGCATATATTCCGAAGTATTTGTTGAGGAAGGAAACTGAGATGAAAATGAAGTTAAAAGCAGAGGAAATATAGGTGAAGTATTAAGGGAGAGTGGAGAAAGAAGGTGGGAATGTGGGGGGAATGCACGGATGGGGGAGATTAAGAAAGGAAATTGAATATGGATGTCGATTTGGGTACAGGAGAAGAAAACATTTTATGATGAGAGGTTTTTTGGGAAAAGATGAGGTTGAGATTGGCGGTAGTTGAAATTGGTACATTGGTAGTGAGAGATACTTAGAAAAGTGTGTGTAAAATTAGGTAGGCTTGACAGAATGATGTATAAAAAATTGTTTGGTTAACTCAGTATTTAAGAAAGAAGGGTGTTGCGGATCGGACTGTATTACGTGTAAACTAGGAAATGAATTACAATATCAATAATGTTAATTGAAAAAATAAGATGTATTTTGTAGAATAAATGGGACGGAACATGTGAGAGGTGAATGGTCAGGGTAAGAAACATAATGGAAAGTCGGGATTACAAAAGAAGAAATAAAAGATATGGGTAAGATGGGGAAGGGTAGTTGAGTATATAGAGAATATAAGAAGGATCGCGTGGTGATTAATTTGATGTAAAAAAGCAAATCCAGCTACGATATTCGTGTAGAAAGTGGGAAATAAAAATTAATATACAAGTCGTTATATTGATGGCCTTATTTTATTAACAATAGGTAACAACATGTGTGCTATAGGGATGTGATTTGATTCAGGAAGAGGAGCTTAAGTCAACAAATAGAATGTCCTTCATTCAGATGATTTGTGTGAGTTAAACCCATAGCACAAGACAACTCGGCACAACAATGGGCGTTCAAATATAGAAATAAAAAATAAAGTAAATCGATTTGATTCACTAATCCCTGTTTGAATTGCAAATGAGGGGCAAATTAGAAACCACTCGTAAATAAACTAAGCACTAGTTTAGTCCAGAAGTAATGGGATTAGTTTATTTTGTGTCAGAAAATCACAGAGTACGTTGAACTTGTTAATACGTCTTGTAAAAACAGTTCAAGTGCACGATCCCTAGCACAAACTTTCCTTTTTTTTCTTATTCTAAAGTATTACAAGTTGAGATGCGTTAAGAAAAGGCAATTCGAGGCGTTATATAAAAAGAAGCAGAACGAACAGTCTGCAAATCAGGGACAGTTAATCGATGGAGGATAAACGTGTGAGTTCTTAGAGCCAACATTATTCTCGTCGTCAACAGTAATTCTCACAGTCAACATTACTGCCAACTTAACTTCACAGAACCATACCACATAAGGTCGTATAACCGCAATATTTTAATTGCGTTTCCTAAAATCTGGAAGAAAATTATAGAATAACCACGAGTGACAATACCTGCTCTTGATTTCTAATACTGCTCTTGAGGTCTTCCACCAATGAATATCTCGTCATCCACATCAACTACCATCACTAAAGATTCCAAGAGAAATGTGTGAACAATCAAGAAATTCTTCAGTACCCTCACAAATTATCCTTGTGATTCCGACACAACCACAATATACTAGGTATTAACGACATGCAGTTACAAAATTATGCAAATGTATCTAGCAATCATATCAAACATCTCAGATGATCAATCCTTAGAATGTCAATAAATATTAATATGTGCGATTTATTGAAAATACATGTAGACAATAAAACAGGACTTTTACAAACGAGTGATTCTAATGTAAATTATCACTTATTTGCAAACTAAGTGTATTTATTTGTGTCACTTATAGAACGTATTCAAATAATGATTTAACAAGAAGAACAACAGAAGTACACTTTAATATCTACGTTTTTTATCATCGTTGGAAATGCATGACAGATTTTCAACAACACAGCAGGTTCATAACGATGCTTAATGTTCAGTGCGGATAATAATAAAAAAATTGAAATTGATGGAAAGCTTCACAGTCTCGAATCCTGAGAAGGAGGGACAAAATTACAAGAAGGCTAATAAGATGGAGACAGAAAGTAAGAAAAGAAGTGAACAGAAAGCTTATAGGGTAAGCGAGCCAAACACTGAAGAATACGTCGTAAACACAGATCGACAAACTCTGGAAGTTTGCTAGTCGGCAATCTCCGGATGCTTGTTAAAATGAGAAGATGCGATATTCGGTTGAAGGTGATCAATAATTTGAAGAAATTCTTTAAAATTTGTTTTCATGCAATTTGAAACAGAAATATTTATTCAAATGATGATTTTGCTATTTTACTTCCAAAAATAGAAAATAGTCCTGTTAGATTGCGTATCATAAAATAGTTGTTCTAGGTATGTTCAAAGTTCGGCAAACTACATTTCAAACCTTTAGTAATAAGAGTATCATTATAAACATGATGAAGATTCTGTTAGTGCGTTTATATTTCAATACATGCCAGTAAATGAAAGTATAATAACAAAGGAACGCATCGGAATTTATCACTCTTAAAAATTACAGCATCAGTTTTCAAAATATAATTCTTTTCTAACATTTCATACCTACAATTTAAACAAACATAATAAAGTACATGTGAATACAAAAATAATAAAGTAATTTTCTAGGGACATAAACATTTCTTTCGTGTTCACGTTTATAGAATTGGATTATGGAATTCTTTCTTTGTGTGAATTCTTCGGATGTCACTTTTATGTTGAAATTAATTTGTTACATGCAATCAGACAATAAAAATAAATTGTAGACAAAATCTAGTTGCCGAGCTCATACATTCTCTGCTGCAGAGTGAAAAATGTATTGAGAGAAGTCGTTTTTTAAAAACGTATTGTTTCATTATATAAACAATTTAACTTACACTAAATCATCAATCATAAAATGTATGACCTACTAATTCGCATTCAGCGCGAAAAGCAGAACTACTAAATCGCAGCACTTCACAACTGCAAGTACTCGAAAGAAACAAAAATATTTTTCTACACTTCTTTCAGAATATTCTAAAAGATCCTGATAAGAATAACTGCAATTAATTTGTCTTCAAGGAATCGAATGAGATATTGACCACTATTGTAAGGGCCTTAAATCTGCCTCAAACCCTGTTTTATCTGGTATAATACTCCAAAACACGTTCAATAATTCACTGTTTTTTTATACTAACCGAAAACAATGTCAATGTCAACCACACCGAGGAACGTCGTATGACATCTCACTTGTGTTAGGTAGACTGGGACTGGTCTAAAAGTGAGCGACAAACAGGCGGCCAGAGAGTACTCAAGTACTTTATAAGTGTATATTTTAGATCAAATACGGTAAGGAAAGGCCAAAGGTATTGAAATATACTTCATTAATTATGTTCTGAAACTAATAGGAAGAAAATAAGAAATGTATCTTGAGTTACAAATTAGTTTTAAAACAGTATCAGAATGGGCTGAGGTATTTAATTCCATCAAATATACTCATGTAGTATGTTTTTCCCTTTTATCTTTACACAATTGTTCCAAACAAGAAAATAACGAAAAAATTTTAATATATTCCTTCTTATCCAGCGAAGGAGGAGAAACAATGGAAAATCAGCGACGAAATTTACCCAATGTCCCAAAATTCCACTACTAAATGATTTACAAACAAAGGTTCAGTGGAACATTACAATCTATTTAGAAGAATATTTATGATATAGAATGGTAATTTCCTCTCAACAAAGAAAGGAAAATATAGGATGATATTAATTGAAACAATGAAAGTGTTCCAACGTGGAAATCTTCCATCACATCATAATATATTTTCTCTGTATAAGAATGCTCGAGAGACACAAAGCTAAAAAGGTATATGTAACTGGTTCTGGAACGGGAATATGAAGAAGATGGGAGAATTGAAAACAATCCAGGAAGGATACGACACAGATCCTGGTGAAACTATGCCGTTATAGGCTAATATAAGCATCATTAGATAGACCTTTGGAATAACTTTGACTTGATGAATAGACACAATTTATTGACATTAGAAATCTCGATGAATGGCATTGAATTAATATTTGAAACCAAAAGAAATGAATAACATTTAAACATCTTTGATGCAGTACCTACAGTACTTCTTTTAAACAAGCAACCGGGAGATCGAGAAAGGATTGTTGCACTAAACATCTTTTGAGCAGAAACCAGTATAAGGGAAAGATCAGAAGCTCGTGTGTTAAATCTGCAGTAGTTACATCTGTAACCGATGTAAAAACAAAGGTCTCGTAAGGTATTAGTGAAATTACAAATATACTTTGAACTCGTATGTTTCAGTGGCTAAAACGACGTTTCAGTAGCCATCGCTAGCTAAAGTAGCGAGTAAGTATCTAGCAATGCGTGACGTGACATGGGTATGCCAATAACTGGCTTGATGTAAAAATGCTGTGACCTGATGTTTTCTCCAATAAAAGACGAGATGTTTAAGTGTCCGCCAAAAACAGACGCGCCTGCTACTGGCTGATGTGACATTTAAGAGTTCACCAATGTTTGACGAGACGATAAAATGTCCGCTTGGGGCGGACGTGACGTTTAAGCCCCCGCGAATGGCTGACGCGACTTTTAAACGTCCGCCAGTGGCTGACGTGAGTGTTTAAGTGTCCACAAAAGACCAAAATGACCTTTATGTAACCACCAATGACTGACGTAAAGTTCAAGTACCCGTCACTGACTGACATGTTAAAGTCTCCGCGATGTTTAACGTGCTTCTAAGTGACTGACGAGACATTTAAGTGATTACAAATTAAAGACATAACTTTGAAGTGTCCACCAGAGCCTGACGTGACTTTTATGTGGCCACCAATGACTGACGTAAAGTTCAAATCTCCGTCACTGACTGGCGTGTTAAAGTCTTCGCGATGGTTGACGTGACGTCTACTTGGCCGCCAGTAACTGACGTGGCGTTTAAGTGTTCGCAAATGAATGACTCTTAAGTTACACCAGTGGCTGACGTGACGGTAATGTCTCTGCCAATGGTTGTCGTGAGTTCTAAGTGTCCACCAGTGACTGACGTAACGTTTAATGAGTTCGCAACTTCGAAGTGCCTCCAGTGGCTATCGTGACTTCTAAGTGTCCGAAGTGACGTTTAAGCGTTCGCAAATGAAAGATATGGCTTTGATGTGGCTGACTGCGGTACCTGTGCACGGCCCAGTGCGCCCAGGTGATGGTGCCGAGGATGACCACCTGGCCGAAGACGCCCACGAAGAGCGTGTAGGCGAGCGGCAGCACGGTGTCCTCGGAGCAGCGGTTGCCCACCTTGTCGAACGTGTTCCACGCGAACAGCAGCATGGCGCCGCTCAGCGCCACCACCCAGATGCCCGCGATCAGCGCCAGCGACCGCCTGCGCAGGCAACACACACACACTACATCACGCATCTATCCATCCATACGAGTCAGACATCGGCCATTCGCTAGGTTAGATTTCAGAGCATGGGTTCGTAGGCTTCCGCGGCCGGAGTCAATGTATTCTTGGCCATCCGGGATGAGACGCGTCTCAGTTAATTGGACTGACGTTTCGGCCATCTTGCTGTGGCGTTCTTGAGAGCTATACTGCAGTATAGTGCAGTAGTAGAGTATACTGCAGTATAGCTCTGAAGAAGTTCACAGCAAGATGGCCGAAACGTCAGTCCAATTAACTGAGACGCGGCTCATCCCGGATAGCCAAGAATACAGGTTTCAGACCATGTCTTTATTGAAGAGTACTGAAGTGGAACTTTGAAAAAATCACTAAAAATATTTACAGTTTTGTACAGTAAATCCTTAATATAATAACCCATTCATACCCTTAAACACTTACTCATTTAATAGTTACCTTGATAAATTTTCTTTCGAAACAAAATGTTCGACGTAAAATTAGAGTGTAGTCTCTGTGACTAGGAAATTGTTTCGGAATTTTTATCTGATTAACATGGGATTTCTTGAACTTCTTTCCAAAAAACAAAAAAATCTTTATAATTTAACTGAAGAAAATTTCAAAATATAATTCTGTAAGTTTTTTTGTGGATTTTGCGGATGTGCAAAAAAATGTATACAGATAAGTTCATTTCCAATAAAATATTTGTTGATTTGCGGGATTCTGAATCACTACATGTGCATACACAAGATCTGTCTGAAGTACAAAAATTCATGTTCAAAACTCAATTTGCTGAAAACCTGCAACGGGTTTTGTTATTTCATTTCGTACGGAGAGATCGAATGGAAATATCCATGACTATCTTCGAGTGTTTTAAACCATCTCAATCGCGTTGTGGATAAAAAAAGTTTGCTAATCTACCCAATTTCATGTTTGAGTGTTACGTATACTTATCTCCAAAACCTGAACTTCATATCTCAGATAACAAAATCTTATGGCTATTATTATTTTAGTAAATGTAGTACCAGGCAAATTCCTGGAAGTGCTCACTGTGCTACCTGGGGGTAGTAGACATATGGATTAGATGACAAGAACCACAAACACAAATTTGTTAAAAACTTCAACCGAATTTCGGGATTCGAACTAGTGATAATCCAATCTCCGGCTCTCCCGGTCGTCACGTAGCCATAACGGTCAGGGCGCTCAGCGTTTCTGCCTTCATATGGATAATTCATTATTCCGTATTTTCTGGATAAGTATCCTATTTGTAAACATTTCACTATCTTTGTTATTGATGTTTTCTCAGTAAATGTGTATAGTTCATCAGCAGGTATCCATAGTGAAGTAGAAATTATTCTGTTGGGTTCTCGTAAGGGATTTAAAACAGGCGCGTACCGTGGTCATGGTACCGGTATGCACAGAGACTGCCGGGGATGGAGTCAGCCGACCAGAAAATGGCAGGTGGATGTTTATTGCCCCGCTCGCAGTGGTAGCACACGAGCTGCCTCCAGAAGTCAGTCAGCGAACGCCAGTGAAGTTTGTATTGTGAACCTGCAATGAAGGGTTCTAGAACGACCATTGGTCTCCTGACGGGTTCGGACTTGCTGGATTTTGGAACAGTCTTCCGAAGCAACGGTTGGTGCTGATCTCTCTTCCCTTTCGATACACATAGATCATTCTGTTACAATTCACTGACAAAACACACAACACATAAACGCCTCCATTGAGGAACATTTCCGTTAAACCATATAGCGGCAGTTAGAATAACAGAATACCGGTTTTGATCGTGACTGCGCGTAAAAACCTCAGAAGACACGAGGCACGAAAGACATTGTAAGAAATATAGAAAACCAGTTGCAAACAACGGGACGTTTCAGTTAGGCGATTAGAAAAGTTTCCAGCGTCTAGTGAGAAATCCTGAACCTCAAAACAAAGTTTCAAGGAAGTGTTTTACTATATGTTATATAGCTGTTTCATGATTACTCATCTGAAAATATTAGTTTACACTTTATTATGTCAATTCTCAAAATTTAGGAAACCTTGATAATAAAAATGTGATTCCCTCAGAACGATGATCATCTTGATCATCTCTGTACTATACAGTATCGTAGTATAGTATATCGAGTACATTTCCAAGACAAGAACAAACTATAACGTATTAGTAAATATAAGTATATTTTATTCAGTGACCGCCAATTAATTATACAAATTCCTTCAAAATCAAGATTGAACTTTTTGGTGGAAGCAGATCAACTCAAAATATTAAATCATGGATATTTCACTGACGCAATATAAATGTACCTATACAATTGTATGTGTGTGTGTGTGAATGCGCGCGTAAAACACTGATTTACGAGGCGTGACCGGAAAATAACATAACAATAACTACAGACGATACAGACAACGGTTACGGACGATAACTCGTAGTATTCAAAGGAAACAGGAAGTCATAGTTGGACAACAGTTTTCATCATTAGCAAACGTTTACTCCAGCATCTGTCAAGTAAGTGTCGTTGAACCCTAACCGTTCTTCGCGTTTATTCATGAACATTCAGATAATTTATTTACAAACGTACGATTATTTGCAGATAACTGCATAATACAGTTTTTCGTTCAAATGTAGGCAACATTTTTGCAGCCTGATCTAGATAGACTACATTTCTGTTCTCATTTCTTGCTTTCTGGACTATTTTGTGTTCCCGAACGCACAAAGTGTTATGGCCATTATTATCCCCGTAAGTTTAGTTTACCAGGAATGTCTGTCGCAGGGAAGGCGAGTGAGGGCCTCCTTTTGAAAATTGCATTTATGTTGGTAGCAACCGGATCACTAGAAAATTGTCTGTTTTAACTAAGGTGAGTCGTAGATATAGTGTCTTAAGAATACGATAGATGTGCCACGAGTGTCACTATTCCACTTCTAAATTGAAGAGGCCCATCGCCGCCATTAGGGTGGCAAAAGCGATTTTAGGAGGGAGCTTTAAGCTGTTTAGGGTTACATTTACGGCGAGAGATTAATTTGAACTCATCCTGTGGAATTTTGAAGAGGTAAATTCCCTGTTGCACGTTGACAAATGAATGCATGGCCATGCTTTTATTAATAAATAACGTTGTTAAACGTGATTTACAGTAAGTTACTACTTCACAATTATCCGGTGAGCCTCAGAGTCGTAGTCATTTATTTACTTATAAGTGGGTTCTGCAGTTCATTGGTAGTTAAACCTTTGTTTATAGTCTGGTATAGGCTAATTCTGGCATTTTAGAAACCATTCAGGAATGTTATATCAATATGGACATACATGCATTTTTTAACCATCACAGAAACCCGTGAACCAAGGTAGCACGAACATTAGCTATAGAGAAGGAATGACGAATAAGGATAATTAACGACACTTAAACTTGTACTTACGTTTAAAGAAAATAGGACATAAAAGGACTATAGAAAAATAAAACAAAGACAAAGAGGGAGAAGAAAACAAAAGGGAAACAAAACGAGAAGAAAATATTTTAAATAAAGAAAGAAGAGATGATCAAGAGCAACAAAAATAGGAAAGAATACAAAAAGAGAAACAGAAGAGAGGAGAAACATCAAAAGGCGAAGAAGTAGAAAGAGAAGCGGCAGAATGTGGGCGTGTCCCCGCTCGCACCTGGGGGTGATCCAGTCCCTGTAGTGCAGCGCGTGGCAGACGGCGACGTAGCGGTCGGCTGCGATGGCGATGAGCGTGTAGCCCGAGCCCAGGTGCGCCGTCAGCACCAGCGCGAACCGCAGGATGCACAGGTTGCGGTGCCTCGCCAGCACTTGCTGCAGCACCACACCACGTCCATGCGTTAATGAACCTTGAATATTGATTTTTTAATTTTATTTTATTTTAATTTCTTTTTAACTTATTTTATTTTTGTTTGTTTCGAAGAATCGTCCATCATGGACCACGCGGTACCGACTTGCTAATCGGGGTAGGTGCAAGTTACGTTTTCTGTTGGATGGAATCAGCAATTCCATTTCTCAGGGTTGTTAGCCCTGGGGGATGGGATGAAATTATGATGATGAATGATGAAATACACACACAACACAAACATACAGAGACACACACAACACAAACCATGCCCGAGGCGGCACACGAGCCCGCGATCTTCTGGTCCGAGACCGGTACGGCACTTCTTCCTTAGCGATCTCGGCCATTGGATCGCCATCTTAGATTTTATTAGCAAAATAACTTATTTACTAACAATATGTATAAAAATAATTTATTTGAAAAAAAAAATAGATTTTTAGGGAATATGACAGATGAAGGTGAAGTTGATCTGATGATCGCTCCGCGATTGACAAATACTTAAGTTAATAAAATCTAAAGTACCTAGTTTGTTCATTAATTTATTCGAAGGTATCAACGCCACACAACATATGTACGCATCATGTTACACCCAATTCCCGTAAACTTTTCGTACGAATATCTTTCTAATATCTATTTTTCCTAAACATTTTTTATATTTTTTCCTAATGCAATTTTTCTAATCCTTTATTTCCAACGTTTACTTTAAAAAATAATAAATTTAATTTAACTTTAAATAGTTTTTCTCCTAATGCAGGTTTTCCATTCCCTTTTTCATTAGCTCTAAAACTTATTTTTCCCAATTTACATTTACTTCGATTCTCAAAAATGGTGTTTTGTTCAAAATCCCTACCTTGTTTTTACATTTCTTTCGTAAGAGTTCGTAAGTCCTTGTTTAGGCACAAAATTGTAAGCATTTAAAACGATCAAGAAATTACACTTTCGTCTAGAGGAGAATTTCTCGTAGCAGATCCATCAGCAGTAACAATCCAGGACGATGGAAATAAAAAGATGCAGAAAGTGACACATACTCTCCTCGTATTCCTCAGGGACGCACAACCACTTGACACAATAGAACTATGGAATTATTATTAGGCAACAATCCAGAACTTGCACAGAACCAATGAGATTTCCGAAGGCTTTCACAAAAGATTAAACTCCTAGTAGGTTAGCGCCATTCCAAGATATATAGCATCCAGTTAGAAATCCAAAAAGAGCAAGAAGATTCAGAATGGTTAATCGATGAAATTTCATTGAGACGAACCGTAAAAGCTCAACCCAAAAGGCCTGCCAGAAAACGCTAAAATCATCGATACTCCAATGCAAAATATCTGGAGGAAGGAAGAACATTGAACTATATGCGGATCATTGGCCACTATCTTTATACGTAAAAATATTCGCCGTTTCCCTGCTCACGATTACATAACTTTTTCTGCTTAGGAAGTTCCTTCGTAAGACGAAAAACTTAAATTCAAAGTGGAGACAACCTATTTTCATGTATGTATTCATTTATTAATTTCGTTTAGGTAAACTAATATTAGGGAAAATATAGATTACGAAATTTCCATCAGGAGAATTACTTTTTAGGAAAATGTTTATCAAATTATTTTCAGTAATATTGTTTTTTTTTAAAAAATAGCCGTTAGTAATTTTCTGTTAAAAAACAAGATTTAGGGAAGACGCCCGATAGCGGTTAATATACGGTGTTTACTCAATAACTGCGCGATCCCACCACTGGAACTTGGGAGCTGGGCCATACGTCACGCAGGAAATGCGCAATATGCCGGGGTGGGTTAGGGCAGAACTTACACCCCCACAGCTCCGCAGAGCGGATGGGATAGTTCACGGAACGTCGACGATGATGATTATGAAAATGGAAGATCGCGCGGTGTCCGTGGCCCGGTCTATAAGCGCTGATCCGAGATTTGTCTGATAGCGAATACAAAACAGACTGTGCAGAAGTGACGGTGCAGAGCAGTCAGCCAACGAATTCGAATCAGATGTGTGCCGCAAAAACGCCGATGTTAAAAGATGAATTCATCTGATAGCAAATGTTTTAGAGAAAAAAATAGCTCCCATGACTGTAGTACCAACCCTCATAAGGAGGGTTTTGGGTGTCCCAGGAAGTGCAGCAACACATATACGAAAAGCATTTATTTCACGCTACATATTAAATTGTGTGATCCGATAACATTTCTCTCAGAAAAAAACTTTTCCATGACTTCTGCGCCAACCCTCGTATGAAGGCGGGTTTCGACTGCCATAGTAAGTGTAGCAACACATATACGAAAAGCATTTCTTTCACGCTACAAATAAAATTGTGTCATCCGATAACTTTTGTTTTAGAAAAAAATAGTTGCCATGGCTTCTACCCAACTCTCGTATGAAGGAGGGTTTCGACTGCCCTAGTACGTGTAGCAACACACATATAGTTGCCATGTATTCTGCCCCAATCCTCGTATGGAGGGTCTCGGCTGCCCCAGGAAGTGCAGCAACACATATACGAAAAGCATTTCTTTCACGCTACAAATAAAATTGAGTGATCTGATAGCATATATTACAGAGAGAAAAAATAGCTCCCATGACATCAGCTCCAACCCTCATATGAAGGAGTGCCCTAGTAAGTGTAGGACGGAGTTCTTCGTTCCCAGGAGCCCTGAGAGGGGGTGGGGGCGGGGGCACTGACCTCGAGGTCGCAGAGGTAGCGCGGCAGGAAGTGGAAGACGCCGAGGAAGCCGACGAGGAAGTCGGCGGCGGACAGGTTGACGACGAGCAGGCTGGAGGTGACGTTGCCCAGCGGCATGCCCTCCGTGCACCAGCGCCGCGCCACCACGCCCAGGATGCTCGCGTTCGTCACCATCACCAGGAACAGCATCACCGCGTCGAAGGCGGCGCGCGACGCGTCCCACCCGTACGTGGTGCTCACCGTCACGTTGTCGTCGAAGCACGTCATAGCCGCACCCTGCCGACACGCGCACAAATGAGACCGTAGGCTTCCACGGCCGGGGTCAGTAGTTACGATTGTTATTTCCACCTTTTTTTTAGTCTGTCAGAATCACTCATGATTATGTGAAGAGTTAGGGTCCATATTTTCTTGACAGACAAATGGATTTTAAGCTCAAGCTTTAGAATGCCAATATAATAACCATTGGTTTTGTGAGCGTTCATGTGTCTGCCTGATGATGGGAACAATACTCGAAACTGCTGCGGGAGAATAAAGAATAAATTTACATTACAAAAAATCTCTGTCAAAGAAATGGACCCTAACTCTTATCATAATTAGTAACTGTCCGGGAGACGCAGACGTCCTAGGCACAGGTGCCAACGTTTCCACCGCCATTTTGCCCTGAGGAAGGTTACACAAATACATTTTTTTAAAATATTTCTCACATTATTAATACTCACATTACTGACATTTTTATAGAATATTTCATTTGTCAGTGGAAGTGCTTCAAATAATTTTCATTGAAGTTTGTTGAAAACTCAAAAGTTTTCTATGAAAAGGAGTTCAAAATTGCGCATCTTTAGAACGTTTAAACGACATTTTATTAAAAACGGCATCAAAGTTTTAAACAAAAATGTGCACATATGACGAGAATTTACGCTTGTGTGATAATCGTGAATTCATATTTTAGTTTTACAATTTGGGAGCCAAAAAATCGAGAAAATGTGAAAACATGTTTAGGCGCGGCAATAGATGGCAGCAAGGAAGACGATGAGGCAGAACTGATTATCTAGCCCAAACTAAAAAGATTAGGAAATTAACTAGTGCGAAAAAGTCTGGGTTTTTCTGTAGCACCAGTAGTTTTCTTTGTGTTCATTGCACACGTGGAATTAATAGTCACAATAATTAATTACTAGAAAAATCCGTGCCGTCACTGACATGACGCTTAAAAATAGTTTCATGTGTTGAAAATTTCTTTCATACTAAATTAATTTCATACCCAGTTTTGTTTAAATATGTTCTTTCAGTATCTGGCATGGGACTTACCAATGAATCGTAGTAGCTAATAATAATATACCCCCGATCAAAACTTCCCAACACCCAATTGCCTTGTGTGTTACCTCCATACGAAATATAAACTGGTCTTATTGCAATTTCAAAATTATAATCGCCGTAACAGATACTTACAGGTTTTGATGCTAATAGTTAAATTTTAGTAGAGCTGCATTTTTACGCTTTTTTGGTAACACGCACAAAAGTGAACATAGCACATTTGCATTAGTACAAATGCTTAGTTCTGAAAATTATATCACATTATATTTTACAACTACATTTGATTCTTTCTCGGATTTCCTTAAAACTTTCATATTTTTCTCCGGTAATTTTTGAAGAGATTGTAACTTCACAAACTCAGACTAATTTACGTTCACTTCTATTTCTGCAATTGCTCTATTAACCGTTTGTATGCGAATCTAGCTTTGCATGTGAATCTAACATTAAAAAATGTGGACTGTTTTGTATGTTTTTATGTGAATAAAGGTGTTAGTTAATTTCTGAATAAAATAAGTTGTGCGGTCACGAGACTCTGTATTTGCTGACGTACAGAACGTAAAAGTTCGATGTCGAACATAACATTCCATTATCTCCCTAGCCTTACTCACAGTTTGTGTTTCCCCAATTCACTTGAAATTCTTCAATTCAATAACTACGAGCAATATCTCTTCGTAAGTATTGTCTCCAAATATGTATTTGTGTTAGATATGATGTTTAAGATAATTGCCGTAGGGAGTGCGAACCCATCGCTCCTGCACGCCCTTACCGGGGTGGGGAATGCAGCAATTAGCCTGGTGCTCCTATCTACAAAGGATGGCGACTCGCTGTCCATCCTGTACAAGAATTCCTTCTTTACCTAAAATCCTTTCCAACCCCCGGGAGCCAATGGGTGACGTTGAGTGCTCGGAGCTTAACGTTTTATCCTAACCTAGGTGTACTCCTTACCATTCCTCTTCCTGTTCAGAAGCAGAAGTCCTTGTCAAAACATAGGGGGTAGATTGACGCTCCGGATCGTCTTGGAAGACACTGCCCAATCTAAGGAAGAAAACACCCTTAAAGAAAATTACTCGCGTCCTCCTGGAAGGGGCGTTGAGGCCATGGGGCCAGCACCCCCATACTCGAAAATAAAAAAAGGCCGCTCAAACTCTCAATGGAAATGAGCTCGATTAACTCACGACGTCACAAAGCAAGAAAATGGTCTATGAGATTTTGGATGCGGCGAATGTCAAGGATTTAACGCACTAATACGTAAATGAAGTTTTAACGCCAATAGAGGAGTTTTAACAAGCTATAATAGTGTTGACTGAAACCAAAAATGAAGGGAATTGGAAATGAAAGAAAGGAAATTATGTTCACCTTTTTAAGCCGTGAGCGGAAAAGAGAAACGAGCAAGAGCAGAGTGTCCATATGCTGTACATAAAAGATTGGAGAAAATATATTCAAAGCTGGGTAGCAAATGAAAATGAAAAAAGAAAGAATGCATGTCTCGAACTTGTACTAAGCGACGCAATTTTATTATCAGAATTTGACTCCAACAGGACATGCAAGATGTTGCAGAAAAAGATATATTTTAGAGAAAACTGACTCATGCGCCTGGATTTCTATATGGCAAATCGCAAAGAAGTGTGCTTACTAGGTGATTTTAATGGAAGGAGTTGGAAACCGAATGGCGCATAACTGTTGTGGGGCGATATGGTGAAAATGTATTAAATGACACGGAGAAAACTTATAGTCCAACATGTGAACAGTATGACCTTACAATACTGAATGGCTTTTTCCACTATCAGTAAGGAAATACATAAATCACGGACGCCAACCCACTAGAAAATTTACATCATAATTGACTACATATATTACTAAACTACCCACCCACAAAATCCCCCTTGGAAAATGCATCCCCCGCTCACACACCGCACCCATCCATCCTGCACTCCCTCGCAAGCAGCATCGCGCGACAGTTTCGCCTCAACACACATTTTCCACAACACTCGCCACATCCCTAACGCAACCAACACACCATCACGATCCAACCATACAACCACACCCCCAACCATTTTCTTCCACCACGTTTCTTCGGCTCCACTGACCCCTTCCCACCGCCACCAAAACACATTGCTACCATGGTTCACCCCACAAACTCGCCCAATTTATAAATCAAAATGATCATGATTTGTATAATGTATGTATATGATGATAACTAATTTCGTAAAAATATAAACATTAGTAAAATCATTTTTTGAGTTTATTCACTGTTAATTCAGTATGACAGATTACAGGATTTACTTTTTTTTTGTATTTTTTGTTTTTTATTTTTTTTTTTTTTTTTTCTTTATTTTTTTTTTTTTATTTTTTTTTGTTTTTTATTTTTTTTTTATTTTATTTTTTTTCCGACCCTGAAAGAAAAGTACATCAACCGACAACAAGTTCATGTAATTCTTTTTTTTTATAATAGAAATTTAAACATATGAATAAAAAAACAAATATGGGGCACCTTTTTATTCCACTCGTTTTGTTAAAAAGAAAGCATAAAAGAAAAGAGAGAAAGTGAAAAGCAATGTAGAAAAAAAATGAGAAAA